GAGAGAAAGATAAAATTCAGAGTAAGGTAAATAAATAGTATCCTTCATTTTATATTTGTGATGTAAGTATGATTGTATTTTGGTAAAACAGAGAATTGATATAATTTTATTCTGTAAATGAAATATGACTATTCTAAGAAAAACATATAATTGCAAAAGAAGAATTGAGTTTTCATGTTTTATATGATGTGAAATGTCAATATGTTGAATGAGAAGTTTCAACAGCTGATTTCAGAATCTTAGCAAGAGCGATTTGAGTTGATAATCGGTTCTAGATCTCTTGTCTTAAATTATAACTTTGACTATAATTGGTGGACGTCTTATGTATGATATTTTGCGTAAACAGAAATGGAAAATAATATTATTAATCAAAGGTCTAAAATTAATATTTGACTCTTTTATTGTGAAATTTTGTGACAACCATGTGTATAAAAAGAATGTCGAGAAGGCGAAGATGAAGAAAGATCACTAGTTATTCTTGTTGTGCAACATTCAGTTCAAAACATTCACTTCATTTGTCCTTGAACTGAATTATGGAACATTTTTTATTTGGATGCTTCAGTTGAATGAATATCGTCTTCTTCCTCTCGATCAAAATTTTATCTCTTTATGTAAATCCAATATTCTTAAGGCTATTCGGTGATATAATCAAATTTGAGCTGATAAACTAAAAATTAACACCTACATTACAATATATTTGACTAATTAGTTTTGTACCGTTTACGCATTGTGTAGATGAGAGAATAGACTAAACTAACCCTCTTTTCTTCCTTTTTAACTCCATTTTCTTTTTCTTATGAGGACAAAAAAATTTATGCTCTATCTGATTCTTTTGGATATAATTTGTATATAGTTTGATTCAATCTTACGATATAAACCTAATTTTTTCCGCATATGATACAGTTTGAATTTTAAAATATGGACATTATTTTTTTAAATGACAAAGGGTTTTATATGTAAAAAAAAAATATTTTAGAATATTATAAGTCATATGAGTTTTATGAATAACTTATTCATTTGTATAGAAATTATGAGTCCATGGAATACATTATTTTGACAATTTGACATTATCAGTCAATAGTATATTTTATCAATCATAAATAAAAAATTTGACATTATCAATCAATATAATATTATAAAAAAGGACATATGTATGATTCTTTCAAATATGTTACATTTTGTTTGAATGGTTCAATACAAATAAGAATGGTTCAATTAGACCATGGTTCAATTAGACCACCAGTAAGATAGTATAAAACAGTCTAACAAGTGAGTGAGTGATGGTAATTGTTTGTGGCGACGAACCAAGAACTACTCTCTCCGTTTCAAAATATAGGATGTTTGAGTTAAAAGCACACATTTTAAGAAAATTTATTTTTCTTAAAAACTTACCATTTAATATTTAACTTTAAAAAATTCAACCAATGATATTAAAGACTGTAGAATATAAATAGTCATAAGATATCCAATGTATTTTAAAATGCATGTAAATTGTAAAACGTCATATATTTTAAACCAAAAAAAATCTCTTAAACAACATATAATATGAAACAAAGCGAGTACTTTTTTAAATGTAGATGTAGTAATAAGTAGGACGAGACTAAATGGCTAGCACCAAATGAAGGAACTATTAAGTATTAACTATCAATTAATGTAAAAAATAAGCAACATAAATCACTTTTTGCAGTGATTAATTATACATGATGTTAAGAGATTCATATAAGCTAATCCAGTGAATTTATCCCAAATATTTATGGTGTGAATTTTTAAAACTAGACACTATTTATTAAAAATTATAATTCTGTATAGAAATGACATGTTTACATTCAGAATCATTTTGATAAAACTGTACTCCTTCTATACTCCTTCTGTATCATTTTAAATGATGTTTTAGAAAAAAAATTTGTTTCATTTTAAGTGATGTTTTTAACTTTCTATGTAAAAATTAAATATATTTAATATTTGTTGACCAATGATATTTTACGGTATATTTTCTTATTAGTTGGAGTTGATGATGTTTTTATGTAAAGGGGATAAATTAAATGAAATGTTTTGATTTCTTAATATGTGTGCAAACACCTTAAATATCACTTAAAATAAAATAAATGAAATAGAGAGGGTATATATTTTGGAAGAAAAAAACTTACATGATAACATATGTAGAAAAATATTGGATGTGTTGCGAAACTGAAACAATTTTCAAATAATTTGATTATATTTATATTTATCTCATTAATTGTTTTTTATGACTAAGAGATTCAAGATTATGGACTCATGCATTCGTGAGGCGGGGCTCATACTATTAATTTAACTCTACTATGAAAAGCAAATCCCTCTCAAAGTGGATTGAATATGTGACCTCATTACAAAATCTTTGTAAGCTTATTATTTTCTAACTTATTTAAAGGTTTCAAAAGTCAATTATACACATGCACAATCTAACGATAGTTCTGTTTAACGATATTATGCAAAATGATAAATGAAAAAGTGACTAAAATATTTACAATTATTCCAAATATAATGCATTAAATAATAAACAACTTAAACATGGGTTAAATGCTTCATGTAATATTATAAAAATGCATATATTGTATGTATTATTATTTTTGTCAACTAAAATATGTATTAAATATTTTTTTGTCAAATTGAAATATGTATTAACTTTAATCTTAATACATTATTATCCATAATATATTTATCAAACTGAGTATTTGTATATTTTTCCCAAGTATATTATTTTTATTTATTGTTGTTTGAATGATTCTACGAAGTTAAAAAAAAAAAAAAATCTCAAAATAGATCCTTTTGACCAGCCGTAAAAAAAAAAAAAAACGAAAAATTAGAGGAGATCGGAGAGTGAATATCACGCTTCAACGGAATATAAAGGGGGTGAAACCTTTATCCAGATTCCAGAGAAAGATAAAATTCAGAGTAAGCTCATAAAGGTCGGCGAAAGATTTGTTTTTTTCCATCCACAACCTGATTTGTTCCCTTAGATTTGCTTATGTGACTGTAGTTTATGTGTTTTACTCTCGAAAGATTTGCGTGTTCTTTGAATCGGAGTAAAAATCAAGAACCTTTTTTACACTTATTTCTTCTGGTAACTAAAAATCACGGATCTTTCGTTTTTACATATTCGTTGGGAAAGAAAAAATCCGCCGCTCTTTGATTTCTTTCTTCTAGGGTTTTAGGTTCTAGCTGTGTTTGTTTGTTTCTTTCTCTGGGTTTCATCTGCGAGTGTGTTTCTCACTTATCTCTTCTGGGTTGTGTCTCTTTTGAAGAACAGGAACAGTAAAAGTCGGATTTTTGGGTTTTTGAGAAGCAATCGGAGAACAACAACGGCGTTTGTAACGCGGATTTTATGTCGGCTGTGTCTGAATCGGCTGTGATTTCGTCTCTGTTTCTAATCTCCTTCGCAATTCAATCGTCGTCTTCGTCGTCTGTCTTGTTCTTTGGTCTGAGTCTGACCGCTGTTCTTAACGCTCTTCGCTTCTGCTCGGAACAGAGGCTTATTCTTGAGGTTCCTTCCATTTCCATGGGCTTAAGGCTAAAAAGGTTTGGCCTTTTCTTTCTTCTTTATCTTTCTTGTGTTGGTAAAGGAGAATCTAAAGGTTTTAAGTATTGGTTCTGGATTATGATTTTGTGCAGGACTTGTTCTGGTGTTGAAGTATTTGGCGGTTTTCACGAAAAGCAAAAAATACCCTTTTTCATAGTTCGCTGAAACAAAAGCTTGAGTTTTTTCTTAGAGAACCCTCATCCGATTTAGCAGTTTTGATCAGAAGTTTTGAGTGGGTTTTTGCTGTGTTCTTGGTTTGTTTGAAGTGTGAATCAGAAGATATGAAGTCCTTTGTGAAACCTGAGAAAGACTCTTTGTTGAGAACAGTCCGTATTATTTTCACTGATCCTGATGCTACTGATGATTCCTCTTCCTCTAGCGATGAATGGTTACCTAAACCTCGAAAGGTAAAGCGTTTTGTCCATGAGATTACTTTCCTCTCTCAGGTCTCCGAGAGTTCTCAGGATCGTAGCAATGCTGTCAAAACCCCTAGAAAGAATACCAGGCAGTTAAAGTATCCTGTGGGAGTTAGGCCGAGGCCATCAGGCAAATTTGCTGCTGAGATTATGAACCCATTCACTAAAACTAAGAAATGGTTGGGTACTTATGAAACTCCTGCAGAAGCTGAGAAGGCTTATGTTGACAAGAAGGTTGAGTATGATGCATTGGCCTCTTCAGGTTCTGCTGTTTCCTCATCGGTTGTCTCAGTGACTAGCCAGTGCTTGCGTTCTCCTGCTTCTGCTTCTGTTTCTTGTGTCAGTGCTGATGATTTGTCTAAAGAAAAGACGTCTCTGAACAAAGATGTTGCTGCGTCTGGTGATGATTCACCCATGGAAGTGTTCACCACTTTCGACTTTTCCGATCTGAAAATCCCTGATCTGAGATTCTTAGCAGCAGAAGAGGATTCTATGGTTTCTGATGCAAATGGTGCAGAGCTAGACTTTGATTGTATTCTTTCTGCCGAGTGTAACCTTCTGCTGGATGATTACTCTTTGCTCGATAATGATTTCAACATCAGCGGGTTTGAAAACAGTCTTCCAAGTGAGCTACCTGACTGCGATTTCACTGAAATGGAACGCGAGCTTGATGATTTCAAATTTGTCTATGCAGATCAACTGACAACACCGCCTCTCGAGTTCGGTTGTGTTTAAGACTTGTTAGCTTCGTTTTCTGTTTCACGGGAACATGATGAAATAAGCTAGAAAGTATGATCCTTGCGGTCTAATCTCCTATGGATTTTTCATGTGCTTTTAGAGCAGTCCAAAGGAGTTATTTGCACAACATTTTTCATGGATGTTGGTTTTACTTTCTTCAATTTCTATGTTTTTAATCTATTTCCTTGTGCATTGTTCTTTGTTCGTCTTCGTATCTCTTTTGTCTCTTCGTGTCGTACTCTCTTTTAATGTTGTCTAATCAGGACAGAAAATCTAAACCACTGAAAGAATTTAATAAGGCATGGGTTGAATTTAATTACTACACTTGCATAGTACATAACAGTTGGATCGCATTTATGCGTTTGAAGGTGGCTAATGGTGATTGTGACTTCTGAGCGAACAAAAATGAAATGTAAGACGACTCTCCAAAGTTGCATTCTCCACTACCTTTTAATGTAAAGAGTACTAAAGAGACCTGACACGCGCTCCTGTACCTTTCTTGGTACGGACATTTGTATGTGCTAAGCACGTGACACTATCAGACCAAAGAAACTCTCCAAGACATGAGCAAGATGATATAATTTATTAAAGTCCAATATGGATGGGCACATTACATACATAGTCTGGAATCATTTTAGATCTCGTTTATGTTTAAATATTAGCTTGATTAATTTGTGTTTCAGAGTAGACCCATGTCTTGGAAACACTTGATACAGTCATCAAACATCTCTGGTAATGACTTGAAGGAGGCAAAGCCAAGTTCATGTATCTTTGTTGTGTTCAAGCTATGAGGCATATCTCTCCCTTCTTCACTACCACACCTGTTACAAGTTTTATTTTGATATATCAAAAATATGTCTTAAAAAGTGTCAAATCTGGAGATTAGAGCAGAGGATATATAGTAAGTACTTAGTCTCAAATGGGTATAATGGGTATTTTAGTTCTTAGCATCTCAATGATCTCTGACCAGTGAGCCACTGAACTCGAACATAAGATTCTTCCCGATGCTTTAGGATCTTCCATTGCTAAGATTTGTGCAGCTACTACATCTTCTATGTGCACAAAACCTCCCCTGAAATTAGGGTACGCTCCACGAGTCCCTAGTTAACACAAGATCAGCTCAAATGGACACAAAAAGGTTCTTCGATGAAATTGAAAATGTAACTATGAAAATGATTAGATTCTCTAACCTTTGATAATGGACAGAAAAATTCGAGGGGAGCTTGTGGGTTTTGGACTAGGTATTGGACCAATACAAAATGATGGGATTACGACAACTAGGTTTAGCTTCTTATCAGCTGCGATCCTCCACGCTTCTTTCTCCCCTAAAGTCTTTTTATAGCCATACCAAATCTACACACATATTTTCAGACATTCATGAAGAAGATAAGGGATTTGTCTAAAACGGATGCAAGCAACAATGAGTAAAGTTTCTCACTTTGAAGCGTTTGCAGTATTCAAGATCAGTCCAATGCGATTCGTTAAGTGGAGAGACTTGTGTAGCGTCAAAACGGTAACGTATTGTAGTTGAAGAAGATGTGAGAACAATCCTCTTCACAGTGTTTCTTGACTTTGCACAAGAGTTCATCACATTCATTGTTCCACTTATATTCGGATCAAATTTCTCCTAAGGAAAACAAAAAATAAACATCAGCGAGTTTCAATGAAAAATGATCTGACAATAAAAACATGAGAATGTGTTTTGACCAGATTGTTGTTATCTCGACCAACAGAAACTCGGGATGCGATGTGGAAGACTCCATCAACACCGTTGACTGCATCATCAAAGCTTCCTTCTACCGTTAGATCAGCTTCAAAGATCTTCAACCTTTCTTTTGCTCCTTTTAACTCCCATAGAAAACCAACGTCCTTTTCTTCATCTCCTGCTTTACCACAAGAAAAAGTCCAAGAATAATAAGAAACAAAAAACCGTTGGAGCAAAACCTGAGAATTTTGGTGAGGAATCTAGGTAAAGTACCTGAGTCTCTAACAGTTGTTCTTACGTAATGACCAAATTCGAGAAGTGTCTTGATGACGTGAGAGGCTATAAAGCTGGTTCCTCCAGTAACCAAGTACTCTGCCATTTTATTAAGGCTCTCTTCTCTTCTGATTTGGTGTAATATTGACAAACTAGATCATGCGATTAGAGGGTCTAAATTGGGTTAAAAAAGGATGTTTAATCCTGGTTAATTTAGTTTATGTTTGACTTGCTTTTTGTAGTCTTTGAATAATACTTGTTACATCTAACTAATTCATAAAGTATAACTTGGATTGGGATAACTCTAATATTAGCCTTGGGCTTGAAGCAAAAGATAATGAACTGAATGTGGGCTTTTGAAAGTATCCATTGTGGTTTATGAAATGTGATACTGTGAATGGTCTTCAATCTCCTGATAATTGGTCTGCAATCCATTGGCAGTTTGCAGGCTCTCTTAGAGACCTTGACAAGAAGGCCTCAATGAAAACTTGATGTTGCATCGATAAGAATGTTAGGTAAAGAGTGAGACAAAGATTGATAGGAAACAAAAAGAGAGAGAGAGAAACACTCTTTCTTGTCCAATATTCTCTTAAGGGATACAAAGGAAGGTGGAAAGGAAAAAATATGATGTTTGTCCTTGATTGGAGATATTTAGCATTTTTGCATTGTGTCTAGGATGTCATTTTGTGGCAGGTTTACTAAGTTACTAGTACAAGGAACAAAGTGCCAAAGCTGAAAGTTGAAATATCAATCGTCAACATCCCAACCGCCTTAACATTAAAACCAACCAAATAAAATAATGCATCGCAACCGAAAGCAATCCAAGGAAGATTAGTTTATGTAAATGAAAAGTATAAATATCAAACTGTCACATAGTTGAGAGTTGCCGTGAATATATATATTTACTTTTTCAAATAAAAAAATATGGTTAGCCGCTGGTTGGTCTGACACCCTATAGATTTTAATTTTGTATCATTATACTCATTATCCGTATGAAGGACCATTGTTTCATATGAGACTACTCTATACGTGTATATGTAACGTATGCAGAGTCTACACCAAGTATATAACTTGTACTGCACTGGTATCTATTATATAATTCACGAAACACCAATTTAAGCCCGGGACATAAAAATGGTAAAACTAAAATGTTTGTTTTTGTATCCCACTTACTATTTTCCCGCAATGATATGGGGCGGTTTTGGATATATCGCCATCCGGTGCAACAATTTAAAGCCGTATAAACTGTTAAACATTTAGTCATTTACTCACTTCCCCACAAGAAAACGATAAGTAAATCCACTCTATATTACTACAAAACTTGTAAAAAATCGAGTTTTATTGAGTAGACATTAATTATAAGTCTAAATATGTAATGTGACAGAATTCACGTGAACGAATGCTCGAGTGGCAAGTTTTTATTGCTCTTCAAGTTGGTGATCTTCAATATCGCCAAGATTAGGTTGTGCATTTAATCTGATGACTTTTTATAAATTAAATCAAGATAGGGATATGATAAACTTTCAATTTTTTGTAGTAAACACAATTTGTAGACTTTATACTACATTATATTAATTGCAGAATTTAATATTCCATCCGTTTCGTTTTAGTTGTCGTTTAAAGTTTTCTCACACAAATTAAGAAAACCATTAAATGTTATGTTTTACCCTTTATTAAGATATTTTATAATTTTTCATTGGTCAAAATATTAAAACAATATGGATAAAACTGGAATTTTTACAAAACATTTGCATTGAAAACCTAAAACGACAACTATTATGAAACATAATTTAAATCCTAAAACGACAACTAAACTAAAACGGAGGGAGTAATGTTTAAAATTACAATAAACGTTAAATGTCTTATTTCCATATGAACTTTTTATTATTATTAAAATTTGCTCCATGAACTTCCATATGCGATTTTTCATTTTTTACTACAAATCTGTGTCATGGTCTTCACTGTTGGTGGTAAAACATTTTGAACATCAAGCAACATAATATATTGAACATCCACAAATGTATACGATGGATAGCGGGAGAGAAAGAGGCATCGGAGAGAGACGAGACGGTAGAGAAAAGAAGGTGCGATAGAGAGTTGGACAGAAAGAAGAAAACGAGAAAGGCAACGGCAGGGAGAAAAGGAGAGTACGAAGAAAAAAATGGAAATCAAGATTTATCTTTTAGCTTTTGTAAGTTTTTTGTTTTGGTTTTTGTTAAAATATAAATCATAATACCATATAGATAATGAGTTTTTTTTTTTTTTTTTTTTCGACACCATATAGATAATGAGTTAATTTCAAATAGGGTTACATGATATATTTCTCAAAGTTTGTGTTGATGTAGTAAACCCACTATGGAAGATGTTTCATAAGTAATAATTTTATTTTGTCATTCTAAGTAGATTTTAACGGAAAAAATTAATTCAAGGGTATAAAGAAGTCTTGTACCTGGCTGCATCTCTGAACCTTTTATTACAAAACACATTGATCTCCATCAGACCGAACATGAATACTGAGTCAACTGACACATGCATCTCTTTTCCTACTCTTGTTACATATTCTTTGTAGGAAAAACAGCATTCAGGCTAGATGAGATGAATTAAAAGAGCAAAAGGTGGGTAAAAGTCTTTTTCTCCATAATCATTTGCTCCATAAATGACGTTGTCTGGCTACAACTGGAAACACAAAAATAGATAAAAAAAAAGAAAGATAGGAACGCAAATCATAAAAAAACAAAATTAAATAGAAAGACGAAGCGAGAGAGAGACCGTTGAGTGGCGTGAGAGTTTGAGTCCGAACATTAACTCCTCTCATCTGCCAACTTTCCTCTGTTTCTCCTTTATATCTCAAACCTATTCTCCATCCAAACCTCATCATAGGCATAGCAAAACTCTTCCAAAATGTCTGATTTCTCGAGCTCCGTGAAGCTTAAATATGTGAAACTCGGTTACCAATACCTTATCAACAACTTCCTTACTGTCCTTCTGATTCCAGTCATAGCGACCATCGTCATTGAGCTTCTCCGAATGGGTCCCGAAGAGATTCTCAGTGTCTTGAACTCACTCCACTTCGAGCTCCTTCATATCCTTTGTTCCTCTTTCCTTATTATCTTTGTTTCAACCGTTTACTTCATGTCCAAGCCACGCACCGTCTACCTTGTAGACTACTCTTGCTACAAACCTCCTGTCACGTGCCGTGTCCCGTTCTCTTCCTTCATGGAACACTCTCGTCTCATCCTCAAAGACAATCCCAAGAGCGTCGAATTCCAAATGAGAATCCTCGAGCGATCTGGTCTAGGAGAAGAGACTTGTCTCCCGCCAGCTATTCATTACATCCCTCCAACTCCGACCATGGAATCCGCAAGAAACGAGGCACAAATGGTTATCTTCACCGCCATGGAAGATCTCTTTAAGAATACAGGTCTTAAACCTAAAGACATTGACATCCTCATTGTTAACTGCTCTCTGTTCTCACCAACGCCTTCTCTCTCCGCTATGATTATCAACAAGTACAAGCTTAGGAGTAACATCAAAAGTTATAACCTTTCTGGGATGGGATGTAGCGCCAGTCTTATCTCCGTCGATGTAGTACGTGACTTGTTACAAGTCCATCCTAACTCCAACGCAGTCATAATTAGCACTGAGATCATTACTCCTAATTACTATAAGGGTAATGAGAGAGCCATGTTGCTCCCAAATTGCCTTTTCCGTATGGGAGGCGCCGCCATTCTCCTCTCTAACCGCAAATCCGACAGGTGGCGAGCTAAGTACAAGCTATGTCACCTTGTCAGGACCCATCGCGGTGCGGATGACAAGTCTTACAACTGTGTTATGGAGCAGGAAGACAAAAACGGTAACGTGGGAATCAACTTGTCTAAAGATCTCATGACCATCGCCGGAGAAGCCTTGAAGTCTAACATCACTACTATAGGTAACTAACAATGTTGTATATAAAACACGCTTTCATCTATGACTTTATCTCTATAATCAGTGAGATCTCTTTGTTGGAATTACTTTTCTTCTAAAAAAGATTAACACACTCATTGGGTTGAATAGGTCCTTTGGTCCTTCCAGCATCGGAGCAGCTTCTCTTCCTCTCATCCCTTATTGGACGTAAAATATTCAATCCAAAGTGGAAGCCGTACATACCAGATTTCAAGCAAGCCTTCGAGCATTTCTGCATCCACGCAGGAGGAAGAGCGGTGATCGATGAGCTACAAAAGAATCTGCAGCTGTCGGGAGAGCACGTGGAAGCTTCAAGAATGACACTACATAGGTTTGGTAATACCTCGTCGTCATCATTGTGGTATGAGCTTAGCTACATAGAGGCTAAAGGGAGAATGAAGAGAAGTGATAGGGTTTGGCAGATCGCGTTCGGGAGTGGATTCAAGTGTAACTCCGCCGTTTGGAAATGTAACCGTACGATCAAGACACCAACGGATGGAGCATGGTCGGATTGTATCGAACGATATCCTGTCTTTATCCCTGAAGTTGTCAAACTATGAAAATATACTTTTAAAAGATTGGAAAAATAGAGAAAAGGGCAAAAGACTATAAGTTACGACAAATGTGCTAATATTTGTCTCAATTTTTTCATTTGGAGTATTTTTTCTTTTTGTTTCTAATGATGTGATTTGTGTGATGTATGAAATACTACATTTTATTTCTTATGTTTTAGTGGTAGATTGTGGTGATAAAGGCTATAAAAATACCAGAACAGAGCAAAGCAGATTTTAAAGTAGTATATATTTTGGGTTCTCACCAATAAAAAAGGAAAAGCGTATTTAGAGTTGACCAACAACGGCTTTGTAATAAATATGGATAATGAAGCCATGTGGTCATGCAGTTGATATTATTGAAAGCCTACTTAAATCCGATCGAGTTGACTTTACACTCGGGAATTTGGTGAGAACCTTAATGTGTAATCGTTTTCTTTACGTTTTTTTTTTTTTTTTTTTTTTTAATTTGTATTTAATTTAACTTTCTGTTTGGTTTTGATATCCCCTATTTTTTCTTACAAATTTGTGATTGGGTACACGAATGCCACAGGTTAAATGAGTTAACTCCTGAAAATATCCATCACATTCAAATTCATCTTTTAATTTATGACCCATCTTCATTTTCTTCTAATTAGAAAGTTCCATATTATTGGACCAATTTTCGATTATACATGTTAAGGTGTAAATCATCTCTCCGTCAAGATATAAAACACTTGTAAACGAAAACTCAATCTACATCAAAATGAGTTGTTGATAACTAAATGATGTATCAATGTTGGGTGACTGCCTAAGCATCTGTGGTCTAGTGGCAGAGGAAGCTTTGGGAAAGGGTGAAACTCCCAAACCTGAGTTCGATTCTCCCTGGAAACAAAAACACATTTGTTTGAGAAGTCTGTCAGTTGGGCCTTAGCCCAATTGGTTTACCTGGTAGCCAGAAATGCAGGCGGCCTGACTACCCATGGCACTTAGTCGGAAGGCATTCCAAACTCGGGATAGGTAGAGTGGTAGCCCGTAAGGGCCTAACCGTTAACACGGTTGACTAGTCCACTATGTAGCACTTCGGTGCGTTCCTACCGGGGCCGACCGGATAGCCGATAGAGTTTATCAAAAAAAAAAAAAAAAAATCAATGTTGGGTGACTGATCATCTTCATATATAATACTGAAACGTAAAGTAAAATTGTTGGATATATAAAAGGTAAAAAGTTAGTGGGCTGTGTCCAAACCGCACCATTTTGAGATGACTTAGATTCTTATTTAGATATAAATAATTAGTTTATAAATAGGATAGGTTTGATGCAATAATCAATCTTCAGAAGTGCTAAACCATCTCTCTCCAACGAAGATTGGGATTTAGAAATAAGGGCTTAACTTTCTTTTTAAAGAGTTTCTGATAACCAAATGAGCTATCAGCCCACCTCTAATTTACCGAAAAAGATTGAATATATGAAACTTATAGAAGGCGTAAGAATAAAATACGGTGTCATGTCTCACAACTATAATTTGGATTTGGGATAGGCAACTGCAATAGGATTGGGCGGTTCTTTTAATTTTGTAATAACTGAAAGCAGCAATTTGTTGTTACGTAGACTGTACGTAGTCTATGCATGTGATTCATGCTTTTACTCTCTACCCAATGCTTTATTTTACTTTCTGCTTATTACCTAGCTAGGCCCATCTTCTATCATATCTCGCTTTTCTCCATTTCTTTTTTTGTTCTTCTATGTCCAATGCTTTTAATACGGAAGGTAATCCGTGAAATCGAACGGTATAGATCCAATTTTTTTATTTCTATTAACGAGGGTCTTGGAACCTACATCTGTTTCGGTTTCAATTTTAGGATTTAGTTAGATATGAAAAATCATCATTTATTTGAAGAAGATATATAATGTTTGTAGAGGTTAAATACATTAAAAAATTGTAGTTTATCTAGAATGACGTAGAATCAACCAAGAACAACACTAGATTACTAGTCGAAAGAACTTGGTATCATGGGCTTGCAAACAAACATCAAAGCTCAATATTCATTTCTCCTTCTTTTATTTTGGTTCTTTTGTG